ATATACATATATGTGTGTATAATCTTACAGTTCTAGAGCTGTGTATAACTATTTCGCTATTCCTGTTGTTCATTGTTCTTGTTCTTGTTGTTGTTGTTGCTGTAGTTTCTGTTGTGGTAGTTAGTCGTGTTATAAAGTCGCTTAGAGTTTCCAATAGTCTTTAAATATATATAGCTATATGTGTATATAGGTGTTTGTATAGGTATTAGATTTTGTTGTTGTTTTGTTCGTAGGATAGTTGGGGCTTCTATACAGCCTGAGGGTCTGGGCGGGTGAGGACGGGCGCTTAAGTCTCTGTGAAAGTCTTTGATTGAATCTGAAACACATCGATATATGCATACATGTACATATATATCTACATATACACATATATTATGATTATTATATACACATGTATATATATATGCATATATATGTTTGTATGTGAAGAAGAATGTGAAGAAATATGCGGCTTAGCCAGAGAACGCGGAACTCTTTCTGGGTTGTGCATTGCTTAAATTGAGTGTGCGCATGGGACTCTATATACGTTTGTGTCTATGCCTGTGTGTGAGTGTGAGTGTGGATAAGTGTAGTGTACAATAATGCATCCTGATTACATCTATGTAACTGACAAAATAGCATCTGCTGCTGCTTCTCTGCTTTGGCTTGTATTGCAATTTACAACAGTTTACAAATAGTTTTTTTTTTCTTTTTTCGCATTTTTTGTTTTCTTCTTATATGCTTTCTACTACACTTAACTAGAATTAAGTTTCAAAAAAAAAAAAAAATATATATATATATATATGTATATAGACAGTTATTATATACGGTTAGGTATGTGCATCTATATAATTTATACGCGAATATCTGTATACTTTGCTGTTTTATTTCTGCTGGTTTTGTTGTATTGTTTCGCATTCGTATGTGAAACAAATGCTTTGGCTAATATCAATCATACGCCGCATGGGCCCGTCGCCTTTGCTCGATTCCCACAAATTTGCATTTGAATTGTTTGTTGTTTGTGTTTGGGTTTTCATCGCCTTCTTCTTTTTTTGTTTTTTGTTTTTGTTTTTGCTTTTTGTGGGTATTAGTACAATTAAATTTAGATATCACAATATAATCATCTTTTAATTTTGTTTGCCAAAGAAGTGAAAACAATAATAAAAATATTATAAAAAAAAAGTTATATATATGTGTGTGTGTGTGTTGGTGTGTATTGGTGTGCATGGGGAGAACAATTGCCCTTACTTATTATTGAGTTTCTTGCATAAAATAAATTGTCACTTAAGTGCTAAAGCAACGCCTTCTTGGGTTGAGAATTGTATTTTTTTTTTCCTTTTCTTGATTTGCTTAAATTTAAAAATAATTTTATATTGAATTTTTTAATTTTTTTTGCTTTTGCTTAGAATGCAGCTATGCATTTTTTCCATTAGTTGAATATAGACACAAAAAGAAAAAATGTATAAATATATATATATGGATATACATATATATCAAGGTCAAACTAAAGTAAGAATTGAACAAACAAAACTTGGGAACTGAAAATTAAATTCATGCGCCCGGAAGTAGGCAACACTTTCTTTATCTTGTTCATCAGATTCTTCCTCTGGTTTCTTTTCGCATTTTAGCTGAATTTCCAATGGTTTTTGTTGTTAATTTTCTAATGAATTTTCTTAAGTCTAAATTCTGGTTTGCAGCTCCAAATGCATGAAACGCTCTTGACCTTCGGCCAGCAGCGAATTGTTTCAGTTTTGTCGCATTTGGAATTGAGTTGGAATGTTGATATTCGCATTGAGTGTTTGTTGTTGGTTGTTGTTGGTTGTTGTTGGTTGTTGTTGGTTGTTGGTTGTTGTTGAGTTTTACATCAGTTGAACATTTTGCCAAGTTCGCAGACGCGTTTCCATTTGGTGGGCAGCAAAAGAGTAAAGTGTTTGCGCATTAGAAATGTAAACGTGGACACGATTCGCAGCTGGGATTTCGAATGCTGGATGCACACACACAGACGAATGGTTATATGTTAGATGGATGTTCTATTCGAGCACTACATGGACTGCGCTGGATTGGATGGATGGTGAGCTATCGCTTATTGGGTATTGGCCCGGCCGCTGGCCAGCTCAGCTTGCAGCTTACTTTCCAAATAGGTGGCGATCTCGTTGGCGTTCTTGTTGAACGCCACCATCATGGCCGTGTTGCCCTCGGCGTCGAGCGCTTGCAAATTGGCGCCAGCTGCCACCAGCATGACGCAGATGTCCCGGCGATTCTGTTCGGCGGCAATGTGCAAAGCTGTCTGACCGCTAAGAGACAGAACGAGAGTTTAGTTTACTATTATTAGGAGACAAAAGACAAGATACAGAGGCAGAGGCAGAGGCAGAGTGACGAAAGAGATAGAGAGCTGCAATTTACCGTTCCTTATCCGCCATGTTGATGACACGTCGTGTGGCCGATGAGATGATGTATTTGACAATGTCCTTATGATTGTATTTGCACGCAAAGTGCAGCGCCGTCTGTCCGTTCTTGTTCACTGATTGTAATGAGTATCCTTGTTCATGTAGTGCACGTAACTGCAAGAGACGCACATCGAAACGAGCACATTAGACCGTGAGACAGACTGAGCGCGACTCAGTAAGAGAAAGAGAGACAGAGAGAACGAGAACGAGCGACAATAACGGGGGAAATAACGAGGAATAGCCTCGGGCAGGAGCTACAAAGCGCGCGCGTCGCACACAGAACTAAAGCAGACGAAACAAAGAGACAAAAATCGGTACGAGAACAGAAAAGTTGAAGCTACCATATTCAGATCGCCGCGCTGGGCCGCTAGTAGTACGGCATCGGAAGTTTGCTCCAGTATAGGGCTGTTATTTGTACGTTTGTTATATATATATATATGTGTGTATGTGTACGTGTGTGTATGTGTGCGTGTAACGTCAAATGTGCACAAGTAGAGGTTGTGTGTGTGTGTGTGCATAGAAAGTAGAGAAATAAAAAAGAAAAATTCAAGCATCAGTTTTGATTCATTTGACATTAGATCAAGTCGAGGATGAGATCTCTGCAAGAAATGATCAGTGTATGAGCGAGATAGAGATAGAGCAGATAAATACATATATGTATATATTATATATAGATAGATAGATAGAAAGAGAGAGCAAGAGTGCAACAGATAAAATACAGAGTACCTGAATCCACAACCAAAAACATCTTCGTTAAAACTGAATAAACGATCTTTGTTGCTGCATGCAGAAGCGAAAAGAAAAAGTTCATTTTAATGAGAAAAGTAAGCAGGAGTTGCAGATAGAATGAAACAGAGAATGACAGACAGAGAGAGAGAGAGATAGTACTGTGTTGAGTATGAGTGATGCAAGCGCCAATTGTTAGAGCAGCACAGCCAATTGTAGGTAAAGCTTAAAGCTAGCTAGCTCATCGAGAGAGTGTGTGAGAGAGAGAGAGAGAGGAATAGTGACTGCTTGGCTAGGCAGTGCCGTAGCAAGCAGCTTTATGTCGCTGCAATTTCGTTGACAATTTTGTGGGGCGCATGAAGAATGAGATTTGAGATTGCGATTGCGATTGCTGAGGCTTAAATTCTCTATGGCCGTTTACCTCTTCCACTTCATCACTTTAATGGGCTTGGAACCGATTTGCAAGTCCTCATCTTTTTGTATGTGTGTGTGTGGGTGTACGTGTATATGTACACAGATATTTATTTATATACATGTGTGTGTGTGTGTGCGTTGATATATTAAATTCAAAAAGAAATTGACAAATTGTTAGTACACCATTTACCATCGATTATTTACATAAGGAATGCAGCAAGCAGAACACAAATATCTAAATTAAGTTTAACCGGTTAATCGGTTAATTGGTTAATTGCTTAATCGGTTAAACCATTGATAAACGCCGTGGCAAACCTACCCCATCGCTATTGAAAACAGTAGGTGGTCTGGTATTGTGTTTTTTGGTTGTTGTTGTTTTTTGATATTGGATTTTTGGAGTATTTTTTGGTGGTGAGGGTTTTTTTTTTTGTGGTGGACGAGAACGGAATACGGTTTAGCCCTTGTCGCTGTTACGTGTAACTGTTAACGTAAGCGGCGATTATATACCAAATATATTGAAAATACTCATATAGAAATGCTTTACTTACATGTGGGCGTGGCAAGGACTAAGCTGTATTCGCTCCCGCCTCGACGTGAGCACTGGGTGAGGGTCTTTTGGTATGTGTATATGTGTGTGGGTAGGTGTAAGTGTGCGTATGTGTGTGTCTCAGTTAGTGTTAGTTACTTAGTTTAGTTAGTAAACATGCAAAAATAAAAAGGCAAAACACAAGAAATCGAACGGAAAAGAACAAAAATAAACTTATGAGAGAGAGATAGAGAGAGATGGATAGACAGAGAAGGGACTTGATTAGACTAGGGGCAGGGGGAGTTGCTGCGGTTGGTCGCTTAAAGCTCGATGCGCTTCTTGCGATAATAGAGGTGACAAAACATGCGCCTATCTATATAGGGCAGCTGCTCAGCCGCCTGCTGCTGGTAGAGGTTCAGCCGCTGCTGCAGCGTCACCTCTGGGGGCGTCGGTGGCGGCGGCGTTTGGGCCGCCGCACGTTGCCAACAGCGTGATAACAGAAGCCTACCCGTGTTGCCGTTGTTGTGGCCCTGGGCCTGGTCCAGCTGCCGTCGCTCGTTCTGCGCCTGCCGCTGCGAGAAGGCCGCAAAGGAGCGCTCCTGGTCGGGCGTCTGTGGCATGGTGGCCGCCTCGTGATCCAGTATGTACAGCTCGTCGATGGCAATGTCGCAAATGTAGTGCAAGTGCTCCTGGGCGCGATCGATGCGAAAATAGTGCTCGGCGGTGCACGCTGCAAAGTGGAGCGAACGAATGTTTCTTAGCCATGGAAGGGATGGAAAGAGGGGCATGCGGGGCTGCGGCCACTTACAGTCAATGAAGCACCAGTCCTGCGAGACCTTCGGATAGGATATGGACTCCTCGAACTTGGCGTTCAGCATGTTGCGCACATGCTCCAGATCGCACTGCGACTCGATCTCGATTTGGCCCAGCTTGTTGGCCAGCTTGCGCAGCATTTCCTTGTCGTAGTGGTATTGCTCGTACTGCTGCATGGTTACCCTCAGTATGGCCAGTTGCATCTTCTCCAGCGGATTGACTCTGTGGGCGGGAGACACGGTTAGAGCAATGGAAAGCAAAGGCAGGCAACTGAGAGAGCTAAAGGGACTAGACTGCGGACTATCATGGTGGAATGAGAGGCAAAAGGAGGGATCAATCTAAAGGAAGCTCGCTCCATATGAAGAAGAAGAAGAAGGCTCATTCAGGGCATCTCTCTCTCTCTACTTACTGGACATCTCCGCGTCCGTGCTTGCGCTTGGCTAGCATCAGCGCCTGGTTGAGCAGCTCGATCTCGATGATGGAGGGCTTGACGCGACAGGCCTCGCCGTCGACCTGCATGGGAATGGTGCGTTTGGTGATGATCTTGGCCTTGCGGCACTGGCAGATGCAGGTGCCGTGCATGCCCGCCTGCAGCATGGGCAGCTGGTAGGTGGTCAGGCCGACGACCTCCATGAGGCCGTCATCGATGGTGGGCTTCGTCTGGCCAAAGGAGTCGTTCCAGGGATGTGTGCCGCCGCCATAGCTGTGGATGGCAATCAGTCAGCAAATGATGGAGCTACACAGACAGTGGCTCGCCCTACCTGGGTATGTTGAGAAAGAGGACGGCATGGCAGCCGGCATCGCGTAGCTTGCCAGTAAAGTCCTGGCCATCGCACTCCAGCGTCACCCACTGTGAGAGATTGCGGTATTGGCGCAAAATCAGATCCTTGCCGCCCATCTGGCCGTAGTACATCTTGTTGCGCAAGCGCGAATTGAACCGCTCCGGATGGGCCTCGCGCGCCTCATGGAACTCCAGCGCAATGTGCGCATCCACACCGAAGCTGAAGTAGTTGTTGATCACATTCAGCGGCACATTCGGCTTGCTGCGATCCACGTGATCGTCGGTGACGTCATCGTTGGGCGTCACCTTCACACGCCAGCGGTCCATTAGCACGCACTGCGACATGCCGATCTCTCGCAGTATCTTGCCAATGGGCTCATCCGTGTAGCCCTGCGGGAACAAATCACAGTCAGAGATCGAAAGGGATTCATCAGGATTTTCACTTACGCCACCCCAACCGAGAGATCGGGCGAGATCATTGCCGGTGCCCAAGGGCAGCACGCCCACCGCCGGCGCCGGCTGCAGCGGCGGATGGATTTGATCCAGCACGGATAGCACCCATCCAACAGTTCCATCGCCGCCGCAGGCCAATACCCGCAGATTCGGAGCCTTGCGGTACATGTCCAGACTGCAGAAAGATAACGATTATACATCAAGAATAAAAAATGAACTAGTTCCACAATATGTGAGCTATTGTGAGCTAGTTCCGAACTAGTTCTAAAATTATAATTATAATTTAATAACAAATTTGAGTTAATGAACTAGTTTCATTTGCTTTCTATGAACATAGTTCATGAGCTAGTTCAAATTGTTAAAAGCCCATTCAGTTAATTTTAACTGTAAATAGGATAGTGAGCTCACGAACTAGTTCATTTAGCTAGTTTCGTTTCTGGCACGTGTGCGAACTAGTTCATTTAGTATTTATAAAATTTGGTAATTGGATTTATATGTAGTTCTTTAGCCCAGTGCATGTGGTGCCATGAAGGACTTCCACTTACCCCATTTTGGGACCGCCTTGCGTCAGATCGAACACCTGGCGTGGATTGAGCAAATGCTGGAACTTGCCCAAGAGCTTGACGCCCTGATTGCCACCGGATTTGGGATTGATAAAGACAATGACCGGTATTACATCCGGCGATGGAATGGGCTTCACAATGAAGGCGCGCGGCTCCTTCTTCTCCTCCTTGCCCTTCTGCCGCTTCTGGGTCTGCTTCTTACCCTTACCGCCAGCACCGCCCCCGCCAGCACCGCCACCAGCGCCGGCCGCCGCGCTGCTCTTGTTGCTCACGCGTATCGACGACTTGAAGTTGCCCTTGGTCGGCAGCTTCACAATCCACGATGGTGGCACAATGATGGGCGCGTAGTTGCCTGCAAGCATACAACAAAATCGTCAGATTAAGAAGGTGGCCAGAGCACGAGAGAGGGAGAGAGAGATTGCGGGGAAGGCATGGTTGTTAAGCTGATAAATGGTCGATTGCTTTAAGATGCGTGTCAACATTGGCAGCTGACCAACTCATTGCCCGTACGGCTAATTGAGAGCTCGTCTAGAGTGAGTAAGGAATGACAAGGAGCAGCAAGTTCCATTTGCCACCTTCAAAGCAATCAACAACAACAGCAAGGCAAGGCAAGGCAAGGCAAGTTAATAGCATAGAAAATATGCCACAAGTCAGTCACGAGTCAGTGGCAAACAATAGAAATTGAGATGAAGCCATGTGCCACCACGAAGCAGACACAGAGACGAGATACCAAGGCCCTTGTCCCAAGTCAAGGCGCAATTATGAATACCACAACAGCAAGCGGGCAGGTGCCGAGTGAGTAAAAGAGAGAGAGAGAAAGAGAGAGAGAGAGAGGAGGCGAAGGGTGGCCTGATGAAGCTAGCCAACTTGCAAGACAGGCCATGGCGGCAGCAAGACAAAGCCAGCCGCCGAGCTGATCAAGTTGAGATACGCAATGCAGGCAGTCTGGTGGCCAGGGTATAGGGTGGAGGGGGGAGGGGGAGGGGGGGAGGGGGGTATATATATGTGGTTATGTTATTGCTTTAGGCTTTACGGATGCCCGCCTGTAATTGTATTTTGCGCTTTATTCCGTTGTCCTGTGGCAACGCCATTGTCTCATGGCTCGTGCGAGTGTGCGTGTGTGTGTATGTGTGTGTTTCGTCTGTGTGTAATGCGATGCTGAAGAGAGTGTGTTAACAAGACGCTCATTGAGACACTTTATAAAAAGCATTCAGAGCCTCCGCTCCGCACGCATTTCCCATGCACACAGGCAACACAATTGTGCGAGGGGTCATCATGGCAGCCACACAGCTGAACAGCCATCCAACCACCGCACCSTCTCATCATCATCAATTCAACCACAATCGAGTTTGCCGAGCTGTCCATGGTCAATTGTTTTGCCGCTCCGGGGTTTCCTTTTGTTGAAGCGCCAGCCACAGCCACAGCCAGAGCCAGAGCCACAACCAGAGCCAGAGCAGCCGGCAGAAGTATTTTCATCTGACAGTCACAAGTTTTGGCATCTCCAATATTAACTGCTCAAGAGCACCTCTTAGAGGCCGGCCAACACCAAGTGCAGCGCCCACTGCAAAACTTTCCTTGCCTGCTGAAGGCCCATTCGCATCTGGCCGAGACACACGCAGCTCGGCCTCAGCACTTGGGCCTGGATATTGCAATGGGATTAAAGAGATGCAAGGCCGAGTCGAGTTCGAGCTCGACTTTCGAATCTCATCAGCAGCTGCTTTATGGCGTCATAAAATATATTTCAATTACAATTTCGGGTTGTGAAATGTGAAAAGCCATTTAGTTGTGGCCCAAAGCGAAACAGTTAACTTTTCAATTATATAGGTACAATTCTTGTGAAAAGCTAAAAGCTAAACTTAATTTGATTGCAGAATGAAYGAATCATAGATATAGTGCGGATTATACAAATCTATTCAGTTCTCAATGGAGCACTCATAGGTGTGTTATATGCTTTCAGTTAGAGGTGCTGTGACTCCATATCGAATCCATTGCGTACAGGGACAATACAGAGGAACCGTTATGCAAATGGATTCCGAGCAACAAAGGAGAATCCCCATTCGAGTTGGCTTTGTTTCAGCTCTTTTTTGTGCAGCTTTCAGTGCGTTTTTTTTTTTTTTTTTTTTTCAATTAAACAAATTGAAAATAGAAAAAATAAAAATCAAGCAAAACAATAAAAATCATCTATTTGTTTAGAATTATTTTACAGCGGGCAATCAATAGACGAGATGATTTAGACTGCTCAAAGGCCCAATCAGTTGTAGTGCAGTTAGGAAAACTTTCAATCAGTGTGAGTGTGTGTGTGTGCTTTGCATTTCAATTATAAAGGGACTGCCGATTCCCTAATTACGTTCGCCCGTCACCCGTGACGTCACCGAGGCACCGAGACAAAAAGGTTTTTACGGCAAACGATTCATAGGACACGTATTGCGCTCATCTATTGACTTAGCCGGCGTCAAAGCTGAGAACTTGACAAATTGTCAATTCCGCGAAATAAATGCTAATGACCTAAGAACTTGACCCAAAAGTAAAAGCAACAACAACAACAGACAAGCAGCTGTCAAAGAGGCCGAAGCGGAAACGAAATTAAGCAAAGCGGAAATACTCTTTAGGGCCAAACAAACTGTCACGATGCATGAGATGCTGCGGAAGAAGCAGAGCGAAGAAAAACTTAGAGTTACTCGCTCTCTAAATGAAAAAGGT